AAGTGTCCCTTTAGGTCAAAAGCGGTTTAGATCAGCTAGAGAACAGCGATAGTAAATCAGAACCACTTGCAGAATTGAGTGATAATGATTCGTGGGGGAAATTCGTCATCAGACACTGAAAACGATTTTGCGACTGAGCTCAGCAATGTGCAAACTTGGCGCTCTATTTCACATTTCAGTGTTTTTGGTTTGATTATATTATTGAATTAAATTTTTTATTATTTTTATATTATTTTTATGATTATTTATTAAATTATAATTTATGATTTTGTGTTTCAAATTTTATCATACCCGGGATGTTTACTAGACTCTTGTTCGGACAGATTTCAGTGAGTTTTTCCTAAAAATTACAGCCTACAATAAAAAAAATACATATTTCCATGCAAAAAAATGGTACCGCTTTCAGCACCAAAAATCTGAAATAATCATACCGCCAGGGAGGTTAATTAAGCTTTCACAATAGAACCTGGAAGCTGATTGGTTACTATGTACAGCTGACCCAGTTTCTGTGTGCATACGGTTTAGTAAATCCCCCCCCCCCCCCCCGTGTGTCCATGAACAATTAGGTGTTTACAGGTATATTAGTAGAGGCACGTTTAAAGACTAAGACTGGGTTCACATATATGTGGTGCGGTATATCGCATGTGATTCGCACAGGAACCGCACCACATTCCTTTGCAAATCACATGAACTTTGTGTGAGGTGCGATTGGAGCTATACATTTTGTATGGCTCTAATCGCACTGCACCCGCACGAAAAAGGTGCAGGACCCTTTTTTGGGTCCGCACTAGAATCATATCGCATGGGTATTCACACCTATGCGATCCGATTCTGCACATCGCACCGCCTTTTGCGGACTGCTTTCGGGGTGTTGTTAACATACACACCCGCAGCGGTTCGCATGAACGGGGTGTGATTCTGATGTGGTGCGGAATTCGCACAGAAAACGCTACGAATTCCACACCGCATCAGTTCAAACCAGGGCTGAAAAAGAAAAACATCAAAAGTGTTATTTGGAGACGAATTGAAGAGCAGAAAAAACATGCAACATGCCTAAATGCTAGGTGTGTTTGAGGGTTAATGCATTCCAATGGCCAGAATAAATGAATATTCTGATCAATGGAATCCATTACAGTAATGCTCAAATGCTTGACATGCCTAAACGCATGTGCAATATGCAGATATTACGCACATTTTTAAGCAGCTTTTCTCCTGCTAAACAGAAGGCGTTCAAGGGGGCTAAACAGCACGAGCTCTTACAGTTGTTGCTTTTTCCCCTCCACTTTCTGGGTGTTCAGCACTTGAAGTGGAACTATAGGCAAAATAAAAAATGACATATATGCCCCTTGTCAGTGGCTTTATGATTTGTTCCAACTGTAGCTGTCACTTTTGCTGGACAGCTTGGCCTGTTAAAAGCAAAGGAAAGAATAACAGATCTGCTGGAAGGATAACACTATCTAACACTGGAGACAAAGAAAAGCAAAACTGCTGTGTTAAAGTGTTACTAAACCCAGGATGCTGCACTCACTATATCTGGTCTCCCACAGTACACAGAACATGGGAATGCAATACCTTTTCTCATCAGCAGTATATAGCAGTCTTGTGACTTCTATCAGTGTCTGGAGGCCGAGCAATGGTTAAAGCTTGTAGGAGGAGGTTTCATTCTCCCCCACAAGACTGCAGGACCCCAGACCCTCTGTCTTGACAGTGCTGATCACATGCACCCTCCCAAAAAAAAAAACCCAAAACTTTCTAGCAATACACACTAAACTGAGCATGTGCACAGCGACTCCTAGAGCTCCGTACTATCAGCAGATGGATTGGGGACAGTAGAAGACAGGGAGGATCAGAGAATACAGGATCAAACAGCCTTTTTACACAATGCGGAAGAAAAAACCCTTTAGGTTCCACAATGAGTATAACAAGCATGCTTTACTGCATATAGAGAAGAGAGACAGCAGCACCACTTTAAGTGTAGACGGTTAAAATCAGGCAGATTTAATGGTAAAATTGCACTCCCATAGGTAGGTAACAGGTAGGCATGTCAAGTGATGGAGGTCCAGTGGGAGCAGCAGGTTCTTTGGCCGTGCGCTGGGTGTTTTCCCGCCGCTCTGGTGGTGTCCAGGGCTCGGGGAGTAGCAGAGGGGTGCAGGGAGGCTCACAGGGATGATGTCATCGCATGGACCAGGTTTCCAAGATGGCGTGCGTTTGGAGCATGCTCACTCCTTCGTCAAGCCTCCCTGTGCCCCTCTGCTACTCCCCGAGCCCTGGACACCACCAGAGTGGTGGGAAAACACTCAGAGCCTGGCCAAAAGACCTGCTGCTCCCACTGGACCTCCATCACTTGACATGCCTACCTGTTACCTACCTATGTGAGTGCACCAGCAGCTGCAATGAACGCACTGCCATTGGTGTGCACTGGGAAGAACATTGCCGAGGTACCAAATGGGCCCTTAAAGTGATACTTAACACTTTCCTTATTTTTCAAAAATAATCTGTACATACCCAGTACTGATTGTCCCTGCAATCTACTTTTCATGAAATTGTTTCTTACAGTGTTTTCTGTCTCCTTGTGATATCCTCCGTGAGCTTTCGAACCTCTTTTCCCCCTCACTTCTGTTTATTTGGAAGAAGCAGTGCACGTTGGTTGCGGTCATATGCATTGCTCTATGTGCACTACAAATCCCGTAGTCCCTAATTCATCTTGGAAGCAAGCAAGACAGAGTGGCCTATGTTCCTACATACGGTGGGACCACAGGGAGTTGTATCACAGCAGTAAAAAAAAAAAAAAAAAGAAAAAAGGATTTGGAAATTTGAAGGAAGTTGAGAGCAATAGAAGGGTTTGTTATGAATACATACTTGAGTAGAAACTTTTTCTTTTTAATCCAGACTTTAAAATCACTTTTATGCTGACATGGGTGGACAGATGTGTTGTAGACCAGGCTGTCTATACCAGAGAAGGGAAAGTTGTAACCTGCCCAACTGAATACATGTCAAGCTTGTGATATTTAAAAAAAAAGGTTACTTGACAAATTTTACCTTCCAATAATGCCTCATTCACACATTATTTAAAAGCTTTTTAAGTGTATCAACGAATGATTTATGTTTACTGTCACTTTAATCATGAACACTTCTAATCCACCATCAGGTCTGCTATTCCCATGCTTTTGTCTAAGATGATAAAACATTCCCATGTATCATCTGCAGGACACTTCTATATTTGTACTCAGGGTTACAAAATCCACATCTGAAGAAATTCTTCCATTATGTTCAAGAGAAAAACAGACACACAAACCAACCGCTGAAACGCAGCTCTTCACAAAAGGAGAATAGAAATGAGCTCATTTAAACATTAAGATGTAATGGCTTGTAACAGTGAGGCAACACGCTGCTTTCAATTTTAATCGTGCCATAAAACGTTACATCTTATGAATGAATCCTTCCAGCCATTGAGGCAGCTCATAATTAACCATTTTCCTATTGATTTTCCCAGAAATTGCCACTAAGATTTTCATTTCAAACGCTATCTAGGAGCCAAAAAAGCAGCATAACTTCTAAAACGTGTAGAGAGGCTATGAAGAGCTACATTCCTGCCCACAGCTACTGTCATACAAGTCTTAGAACAATAACATAAAAGTAACGTACAAAAAAGAATGGACCAAAAAAGAAGAAATCCATCAACACTGTTTGTAATTCTATAAACCATGTAACATAACCCCATTCAGATTTCACAAAAACAACCTTTCCTGGGAAAGCAGTCAACTTCTTGGTATGAGCTCCCTGTGGTGTAGGACAGGGGTGTCAATTTCATCAGCATTATGGTTGCCCTCAAAGGGTCAATTGTAATTGTAAGAATAGATGTCCAAAGCACCCCCCCCAACATCAGATGTCAAGAGCCCCCCACCATCAGAAGTCAAGAGTCCCCTACTCTCCATTACATCACAGTGCATCTGCCTTACCATGTGCTGCTGCTGGGAAGAAGCTGGGGGTGGAGCTGGGAAGCAGAAAGTGCAGGGTCTGGAGGAGGATCAGAGGAGGGCTCGAGAGAGCTACTGAGGACAAAGGGGTGCTGCAGCTGCAAGGCTGTACAGAGAGGTGCAGGACCTGTAGGAGGAGTTTTGTCCTCCTCTCTACTGCTGACTGCTGAGATGGGGGGGGGGGGGGGGGATGAGCCCTTTCACGACCGTTTCCCGTAAGGTCCCACGCTCGCAGGGATGCCCAAGATCCTCAGGATCTTGAGGAGAAGTTGTGGGGAATCTCCAACAAGGGCACAGACAGCAGTTATATCACTTTTATTTATTACTGGAAGACTAGAACCCATGTCAGCATGTTAGTGCTGTCTATATTAACTGTTGGAGATGTTCTCTCACTTCCTATCCTGGATACAATTTTGTCATGCTAGGGGCACAGACAACATTATAAACCTAACAGTGGTTCTAACTCTTCCCTACTCCAATAAAATTCATTATACTTTAAGTGTTTTTTTTAAAGAGGGTGAGGGAGCAAAGGGTAGTCACAGTAATCTGAAAAATTGCTTTTATGCAAGGTGACAGCAGTCAGTCCAAAGTCCTAATGGGATAGAACCATACAGCCCAGCATGGCACATCATGGGTCAAGGATCACTGGAGTACATGCATTACTTTAACCTTCCTAGCGGTCTAATTATGTCCATATTTCTGTGCTCAAAGCGGTACTTTTTTTGCATGGAAATATGTATATTTTTTTTTGTAGGCCTGTAATTTTTAGGAATAACGCGCTGAAATCTGTCCGAACAAGAGTCTAGTAAACATTCCGCGTAGGATAAAACTTGAAACACGAAATCATAAATTATAATTTAATAAATAATCATTAAAAATAATAATAATAAATTTAATTCAATAATATAATCAAACCAAAAACACTGAAATTTGAAATACAGCGCCAAGTTCGCACATCACTGAGCAAAATCGCAAAATCGTTTTCAGTGTCTGATGACGAATTTCCCCACAAATCATTATCACTCAATTCTGCAAGTAGTTCTAATTTACTATCGCTGTTCTCTAGCTGATCTAAAATCGCTTTTGACCTAAAGGGACGCTTTTTGGATGCCATGGACGTTTCTCAGTTTCCAGGCAGAAAGAACAGTAAAAATGCAGGCAGGGCACAGGACAAAGCACTCGGGACAAAATGTATGTGAAATGGTTTGATACAGTAATGTTTTACTATGTGATTTTAGTGAAAGTCACTTTTTGTCATTTTCAAATTTCCCACCGTTCCGTCCCCCCGTACGTCCCGACGCTCGCAGGGGACGGAACCCAGATGACAGATGCCGGCATCCGCCGGATTACATTGCCGGGGACACTGCAGGAGGGACATCGCCGGAGCGAAGGACAAGGTAAGTGATCGAGGGATCCCGGAGCAGCGCTGCATGGTAAGAGCAAGTGTACCTCGGGGTTACCGCGTGTGGTACTGAAACTTTACCCCGAGCTACACTCGGAAATACCGTCAGGGGGGTTAAAATACTTCCAGCATACATCATGTGTTTCAACTGTGTATATATTGCTGGAATACATAAATGTATTTTAAATGCAACTAATGTAAGTACCCAAATTTAATATTAGCCTCCTTTTTACAGTAGATTTCAGCCTGGGAGAGAGACGGTCAGTGCTATGAGCCAATCAGGTATGCTGCAGTACACATGTGCTGAACAGGAACATGCTAAGAGGAGGAGAGTGGAGAAGCAAAGGAATAAACATATCAGTCTGCTGCTTCTCCTTTACAGTCCAATCCTAGCCTGGGGGTGAGGAAATGACCAAGTTGTATTGCTTAACTTCAGTAGATAAAAGGTAGGTGACCATGCTAGCACTGCTATGTGGCAAGACTACACAAATCTCAGAACTGGATTTACAGAACAAAAGAAGTATTTCAGATGTTTTCCTGGAATTTTTCTTAACATTAAATATATTTGTGCATACAAGATTATATGGATTTTTAGGTTTATAACAGCTATTGTACACAAAAGTATTATTTTTGTGAACCAATAATACTTGATTTTTGGTCTGGCTTTGTGCACTCCTGTCTGATGTGATGTATATTAAAACAGCAATGGTGTCTTCTTCAACAACGCAACAACAAAAAAGAAAGCAATACACATCACAGACTCTAGTAGATTAAAAAATGAATGTGTTTCTGGAAGATTAAAAAAGACAATGCTTGCGGGGACGGCCTGCCTTGCGCTTGGAATTCTTTGACTCTTTAATGCTTTTGTACTCCCCGTGCATAAATCAGGGCCAAAAAGAAGAAATATTTAATTCAGATGGATCCTTTGAACTTCCATCCTATCAAGTTGTCGTTTGAATAAAGAAATCTGTTTTAGTCGTAAAATATTGGCAAGAATGGACTCCAGTGAAGGAGAGAAACAAAAGAAACTCAGTGCTCCAGGTTTGGACACTGTCGTGCCACAGTGTGTGAAAAGGAGACATACACACACACACAGAAAAAAAAAACATTCCAAGCCTACTGGAGAAGAATGAACAGCCTCAGTGATACTTACAACAGGCGGGTATTGTGGTGGCACAACGGCATTGCAAGCGTCTTTGCCGGATTATAGCTTTGGGTTATGTATTAAGAGTGCCTTTTCTTTAAAAGCTAATACTTTGACTTATTGTGTCAAATAACTCAAATCCTTGTGAGCGGACAAGGAACAAAGGAGTCAGAGGCAGTCCAAGTGATTCATGAGGGTAAAATTGGGTCCTGATGGAAGTGTGCTTTTTTAATAATTGGCAGAGCAAAATATGGGTTACAGCTTTAATGCCACTTTTGTGACCGTCGTTTGGTGAAAATGCCTTAGGAGCTGTGAAATGACACTGAAAATTGTTGTCGGGACTTATGACAGTTGTAAATTGTGTGACTGAACCTTGTTTGAATATGTTGAAAGAAAACTTACTCTCTTCAGTGACTTTAGAAGGCTTTCTTCAGAGGAAACAATTTGGCTATTTGCAGACTAAATAATGGCTGAAGAATAGAAGGTTCTAAGAAGGAAATTTGTGGTTGTCAACAGGGCTAGACTGGGAATAAAGAGCAGCATTTGTCTATAATTTTCTGCCTCTAACAATTTAGAGGTTGTGTAGGGTTTGTAGGCCTCATTAAACACTACACTTTTTCAAGGCTAATAAAGATTGGGTGACTTACAGACAATTTAACCAATCCACAAATGCTTGCATATGGAAGCCCCTCAAGCAAATGCCAGAACTGGCAGGTTAATAGTCCAGGGCTAAACCTACCTTGAAATGTACCATCTGCCTATATACTACACTTGCAGGTAGCCATTTAATGCGCTACAAAAATACTCCCAATGCAGCATATCAATCACTATATTAAGGTTAGTGTCTCTGTCTGACAGAAACAGAATTATTTCATAGTCAAGATAAAGCACAAGGCAGCCAGAACTGGTTGTGGCTTTGAAAAGAGTAAGGAAGGGTTAGAACCTTTGTCATATCTGTAAATGTCCCTGATTAAATGAAGTTGAATTTCACACACATTGGGGGAGATTTACTAAAACTGGTGCAGCTCTGCATAGAAACTAATCAGCTTTCAGGTTTTATTGTCAAAGCTCAATTGAACTAGCTGAAGTTAGAAGCTGACTGTCTACCATGAACTGCTGCATTAGATTCTGAATGCTCCAGTTTTAGTAACGTGTGTCTCAGTGGCACCCATGTGACACCAGGACAAGAGACAAGAGGGACTGGGATCCCTAAGACAGGAAGACCCAGACAGTCATACAAACTTAAGTAAAATTCTAATGTTTGTTCACTCTACTAATAAAACGTTTTGCCAGTCGATATCCCCCATTTCTATCTTACTCATACCCTTGAATCTCTATTGCTAAGATAGGAAGTTAGAGGAAATATCTCACCTGGGAACATAGACTACAATAAAAACAGAGAGATCCAATCCTTCCCCCAGAATAAAAACAAAGATTTGGCTTAAGCTGGGCTCCAAGAGGTAATTTGCCTGACCCTTTAATACTCCAGTCCACCAGGCTCCACTGTACATGTAGGAACCAGGGCTGAAAACTATCTTCTGCTGCTTGGACGGGTTCTTGAAACTCCTTGTTAAGTTATTAATGTCACTCCTTTGTAAACTTCCTAATCCTCTGAAGGACAATTAACTGGACACATAATTACAGGACTGTAGATAAAATCATTTTTCTTTTCTACATATAGTTATGCTTCAGTTTTTAAAAATATTCTCCTTTACAATGCAGACTATTTTACCGGCAGTATTCACCTGCTTCTAATAAAAATAAAACCATGGACAACCAATGCACAATTTGAAATCTTTAAAGCTGACTTAATACGAGCCACGTAACCCTGGTACTAAACTTAATTACAATTTAATTACCAGATGGGGAAAAACACGGTATCTCCACTACTTTATTAAAAATGCCTAGCAAACTTATTTCAGCTGGATTATTGTTCACTTAATGTAATTTGTCTGGAGAGACTCAACACCACAGCAGCAATACAACTCTCTAAAGAGGAAAACACAAAGGAGAGAATTACAATTTGCAGCTTAAATGAAAAAAGTTATATGTAAGGTTTGATAACCCACCACAAATGTGATATATTTGTATTTTTATGCTGTTAAAATAGCTCAACAGTTGGGTAAATAGATAACGGATTTACTAATATTCCAGCTCTAGATAGATCCTGGTAAATGAAAATCACTGAACTTTTAATACATCTTGGGAGCTAGGCAGGTGAGATCTTTGTTGTTATGCTCAATAGTAGGGTTTCTCCATTTTGTCTGATAATTCTTTTTACTTTATGGAGGGTACAGCAGAAGTAGTAATAGTCAAGAAAAATGGTAAGAATAATTAAAAAGACACCCTCGCATGATGCCCCCCCCAGTCCATCAGATTTAAGTGAGCTAACCCTTCAAGTCAGTGTTGGGTAACTGCTGTGGAGAAGTCATTTTATCTGTAAGGTATTTACAGATCCCCCGATTATGGATGTGCAGTTGGGTCCTGATAAGGTCTAATTACTACAGTGGGAGCCCATCTCTATGTTTGGTTGGTGGCATGAAGGCCCAAGGACAAATAGAGAGTGGGAAGAAGATGTCAAGGAATGTGATAGAAGGTTTAAGCATAGAGCTGTTTCTCAGGAGAGGTGTGAAGTTCAAAAATGTTCCTGCCATGCCTTCACGGACATGCACTGTCCAGTGAAATGGATGTACTGTACTGCAGGCCTGTGAGCAAACTCTGGCAGAGATAACAGGGTGCTATGGGAGGTCTTACACAAAGAAGAAGTCTAGAATCCTCAGTAATACTGTAATATGCCAACATGCTCAACCAGTGGACTAGTTATTAGACTGTACCCAAGTTTTGGTCCCCAGTAAAACCTGTAAAAACTTCCACTTAGTGTAACATATGTCCCATCTACTTTTCTATTTCTAATACCATATTGAGGCGGCTCCAGTAGAGTAGCTTAGTTTTACAATGAAATACTGTATGTTTAGAGACCTATTCTGGGCACTGGGTTTTATTGAGTGTAGCTAGTTAATATAGCAGTTGTTTTTCTCCCTCCTTTGGAATGGTTTATCTCATAACGAAACATCACCAGTGTAGTTTGTAAGAACAAAGCTGAGATAATGAGCAATTTATCGAGCCTGAAACATGTTTCCGTCCAAATCAGGGAAAACACCACTCATCTGTAGCATTTTATCTAATCTCTGCCTTTAATGTGAAAACAAACGATAAATGCCAAGCCAACTCAAATATGTCTTCTCCAACATTACATTGTCAGGGGGAGTTCTGCAAAGTATGCAGAGCATCTCAGAATGTAAAAAAAACAGACTGTTTAATACTGGGTGGGAATTTTCAATCTAATAATACATTTGTTTAGACTAGAAATAATCAAGAATTGGCTGTGTCCCTAAATCCTATTTAAGATTTTAAAGTATTAATATGTTCTGGCAGTTATAACCCCTCTCCGTTCAGCTGACAAGCTCCATATTGAATGACATCACTTTTTGAGATCTTTTGTATGTCTCTAGCCGGAAAAGTTGGGCAGCGTTGGAAAAGGCCTCCTTTTTGAAGTTTTGAAATTTCCTAAAGAAACAACACAGTGATGTGCAAGTATCTCAACCACCATTCTTAGGCCTCCTGCACACTGCTGCTCCTAAACGTGAGTTTAGGAGCTTTCGGCTTTTTTTGCCAAAGCCCCTGAACTCAACTCAATAGACGCCTATGTGTCCATGGACAGGGTTTTATTAGAGTTTAGCAGCAGCAGAGTTTAGGGGTAGTTATAGCTTCTATTCATATGAAAACTAAAAAGGGTTGGCTAATGAAGAATAGATGAATCACTGATATCAAT